GTTTTCGCTTTGATTTTACATTTACCGATCACAGTGCAATGTTTTCATCGCGCTGTGATGACGTCACGTACGCGCTTTCGTCGAGCGCGCTTTTGTCTACCGCGGTTTTGTGGTGGAACCGAATTTGGTGCCTCCCCAAATGCTAACTAGTAGTCAGAAAACTTGACCAAAACTGCTAAAAAACTATCAGCCTTTTTGAACAAGTCAAATCCAAAAATGTTAGGGAATTCTTGGAAGCTTGGCATTCGGGTAAATCAGCCATCAATAAATACATCAAGATAAATCATATTTACATAACATTCAAAAAGGACAATAAAGAAACATGAGGAGGAAACAAAAAAGGCTGGAACATATCTGCTCTAGCAACCAACACTCAAATAAACAGGAATCAAAACCAGAAAAAAACAATAAAAAATACCCTAATCAAGAAACCAGTAAAGTTTACAGGAGATGTTATTATACATATAAACCGGCTGAAATCCCCACACTCACTCACACGGATGGCGTTACCTAGTTGGGTAATGAAATGTTTGCAAGCAAACAACATTGAGCTGAAAACTAGATAATTCCATTTTATCTCACATGTATATAAACTCAGCCTCTACTTACATAACCTCCATAGGAGACGGCAAGCTAGACACAAGAGCAGCAGAGTCCAGACCTGTTCAAAACCCTGCTGAGCAGTTGGCAGCATACAACTGCTCAACAGTTGCTGATAAAACTCTTCCCGTGTAAAGGTGGCCATGGCCCCAACCTGGAAAGAGAAAGAGAGAGATGCGGAGCAAAGCCATAGAGTTAGTTCTGGAAGCAAGTCAAGATTATTCTGAAAGGTACATAATCCCAAAGAATAAAAAGTCTGGAATAAACTACAACCGTCCTGTTCTTAAACTGGGATTATTGTAGTTGAAAGAACCTCTCCCTACTGGGAGAATGATTGAGGTTTCAGGACATACTTACACAAAAATAAAAGGTGTGGTTATAGAATGCTTATTTGTATTGCATTTAACCATAATTTCCTTAAAGCCTACTTTCTGGGGCTCATACAACACACTGAACTATACGTCAACCAACCACACAAGCGAGAATGATATAACCTACTACCTACACATACTACCTACTACCTAGGCCATTTGTGGTTCAGTGCATGGTATGAGCCCAGTTATAGTTAGGCATGCTAAAGCCAGCCAGTCAACAGGTCTAGTACCTCTTGACATAAAACCCATGTAACCATATTCATCATCTTAGACGCACTTGCCATTTCAATGGCACAATATAACCCAATGTTCCCTTCTGTAACTATTGTTGCCCTTTTGTTTTAGAACCGTAGATTTGAAATAGCAGCATGGGAATCCAGTCCAAGTATTATCTTAGTCCGACACCACTAAATGTAGCTAAGCAGAGATGAGTCTGGAAAACATATAACTACAGCAACAAGATTGGGTTTCTCATGATTAACCTAACTATGGCTTGTTCAATTGGTCTCATTTTGTACACAACACATGCTTGCACATATGCAAGTTGAAATCACAGAATATAAGGAACTAAAATGTGACTTGTAAGTTTATGATAGTATAGTGATACAATCCATCCTTGTTGCCCCACAATTCTGGGGAGGAAGAGACAAAGGTATAAATCAACTAAATAAATCCACAAACATTACTGTATGGAAGTAAATTCTGCTAAACCCCACAGAATTTGACTATTTTTGCAGTACAAACTAAAGCTTCTACAGTGATGCAAACTCTTTCTCTATTTTGTTACTTGGAGCTAATTCTTATTGACTATTGTAGACTCAGTTTAGGAATTAAACGTTTTCCAAAAGAGCTCCTTGGGAGAGGGGTTAGGCAGCATCATTAACTGGAGGCCAGTTACCAGTCGCCACACAATAATAGCATACATTCTGATTCTACTTCTTTTTCCCAAGATTGAATTAACACTAAGCCTAGCAACAGGGGAGGAGAGTAGAAAAATGGGTGGTGGGGAGTAATACACAGCAGATGAATGGATGAACCATTGCAATAGGGAGGAAGACATGGCTGGAATGGCACATTTGCATTAAACCGTGATTTCATCACGATTTGGTAAACCATCTTAATCCAGGGTCACAAGCCACAGGAAGGCAAGACCAATGAAAACATGTTATGGTTCCACATGAAGTAGGAACCCTGAGGATTTACTGGTCAGTGGCGTTAAACGAGCCCCGTTCTGCAACTCCAAGTAACCCTTTGGCTTCTCGCTTCCTTTCTTAGCATAATTCCCCCCCACACACACACACACAAAACCTGATTTTTCTTTCTCACTGCAACCCCCCCGCCCCAGCCTCGGGATACTCGCCCGCTTTTCTTAAAAGGGAAAGAGCTAATGATGGGAATCCCACGGAAACGGCGGTCATCGCGTCATCTCAGAGAAAGAAAGAAGGAAATCCCTTCAATCGGAGACATAGATCTAGAAAGCCTTTTCCCTTCCCGCTACGCTGCATTGAGGGAGAGGGGAGAACTCGGCGCCCCCTTAATGGGCACGGCTCCGCTTCCCTCTCCCATCCAACTTGCCTTAACGCCTCTCATCCATCCCAGCACCGGCCCTCTAGCTCCTTTTAGGCCAGCTATTCCAGCGGCGTGCCTTAAAGAGGCAGGCACGGGCGTTATGGCTAACTCACCGATGCGTCTTTATTCGCACCACCCTCTTTTCCCCCAGTTCTCTGGAGCTGCGTGGGTACCGGCCTTCCCCTCCCTCTCCCCCCCTCCCGCCCCCAACAGCTGGAAAGCTGAAAAAGGAAGGCGAGGTAGGCGGTGGGGAAGGGGGTGCAACGATCCTGTTTAAAGCTGGAGGTGGGTCGCTTGGAAATACCAATGAGAAGGCTGGAGAGGACTAGTTAAACCTGCTGAACGGCCAACCGCGTGGAAAAGACGGGGGTAAGACGCAAAAAGGCAGCCAATGAGAAAGGGCAAGGAGGGGGGCGAGAGGGGAAAGAAATTAGCCCGAATCCCCCCTTGAGGAATGCAGCCGTGTTTGCCTCCTAGGCAAAGCTTCATTTATAAAAGCTCGCGATGCGCAAACATCCGCGGGAAGGAAACCGCGGGAGCGGCTAGCAAAAAGAGCTACTATTTACAGGCTTTTGTTCTAAAAACGTTATTCTGTGAAAGGAAGGTGAGCGTTGCAGAAAACCGCCACGTAGCATCCTCCGGGGAAAGCTTCAATGGTAGCCTTTAACCACTCGAAATATGGATCAAGTAGTGTGCTTAGCTGAGATTGGGTGGGGGAAATGGAGTCAGTTCTTTTCAATCGGGGGTTGCACACGAGTAGGTCTGCGTAATGGGCAGAGGGTTTGTAATACTTTAAATTGGCGGGGTGCTGTGATTCCTAAAGTGCTTAACAAGAGCATCCTGGTCAGCCACTTTTTTGAACGTTTCTTCCGCTTCATTCCTAATCCTGCCTCTTCCTGTTTTACTTGGTGTGCACACTTATCTGTTTTTTTGTGGCATGCATTTGTTTTCCTATTTCTCTTGACATACCCAGCCCTCACTTTCACTTAACAATTTTATGGCATACTGATACCTTTGGTTCTTTTTATTTATTTATTTATTTTTATTTAAAGTTTATTTATATGCCGCCCTTTTCCCTGGGGGGACTCAGGGCGGCTTATAACTTAAAAAGGGGGGGGGGAGACAAACTTTTAACATATAAG